TTTAGCGCATCGGACGAGCAAACTGAGTACAGCGAGAAAGTTGACAACCATTGACGTCGTATTGCTACCACCGCCAGTTTTTTTATCGACGCTACTACACGCATGTTACTCTACAGAACTACAGGTTCCGTGGGCTAGCTGCTCCATGACCAACGAACGCCCCTCGTCTACTTCTCATCATCGCCAGCGAGCGGCCTTCTCCACTTCACTTCACTTCACTTCACTTCACTTCACTTCACTTCACTTCACTTCACTTCACTCCACTTACTTGCCCTTGGCCTTGTCCGTGGCGCCGGACTTGGTGGTCTCCTTCTCCTTGGGCGGCGTCTTGTCCTCCTTCTCCGCCGACTTGTTGGACGCAACGTCCGTAGCGGTAGCAGGCGCCGTGGCGGACTCCTTCTGGCCAGCCTCAGCACCGTCCGTCGTCGCGGACTCATAGCCGTAGCCGTAGCCAGGGTAGCCAGGGTAACCAGGGTAACCAGGGTAGCCATAGCCGTAGCTAGCATAGCCGAAGTTGCCGGGGTAGTTGTAACCATAGCCGTAGCCAAAGTCACCGCCGCCGCCGTAGGACGAGTAGTAGTCCGGGTAGTAGCTGTATCCGTACGACGAGTAGTAGTCCGGGTAGTAGCTGGAGCCGTACTTGTATCCGTCGTATCCATAGACGTCCTTGCCGTAGCTGTAGTCGTCCTTGCCGTAGTAGTCTTTGCCGTAGTAGGCCTTGCCGTTGCTGTAGTCGTCCTTGCCGTAGTAGGCCTTGCCGTAGTAGGCCTAGCCGTAGCTGTAGTCGTCCTTGTCGTGGCGACCCTTTCCGTAGTCATCGCAGTCTCCGCCGTAGCTCTTGTAGCCGTATCCCTTGTAGTCATCGTCATAGTCGTCGTGACCGCCGTACCGCTTGTGTTCGTAGCCGTCCTTGCGATCCTTGCGGTCCTTGCCGTAGTCGTAGTCGTCCTTGCCATGGTCGTCCTTGTAGTCCTTGGACTCGGTGGCCTTGGCGTCTTCGAGACGGCGACGGTAATAGTAGTGCGACGGGTGCTTGTCATCGTGGTGGCGGTGATTCTTCCCGTGGTCGTGGTCGTGGTCATGGTCATGGTCGTGGTGGCGCGGGTGGTGTCCGTAGTCCTCCCTGGAGCCGAGGTGGCGGCGCGGCGAGACGCCCACAGGAGAAGCGCCAGCGTCAGCCGCCTGCAGGATGGAGGCAGCGGCACACAGGCTGAACAGGGCAACGATCTTGGAGTGCATGTCAGAGATGAACGTGCGATTCGGTGGGTTGATTTGGGGTTGGTTGGTGGCCGAGTGTGGCGGAGAAGGCGAATTGGAAGATGAGAGAGCTTGGGGCACTCGGGTTTGAGGCCGCATCCACAGCCGTCGCCCACTCCGTAACTAGTCAACTAGTCTAGTCTCTCGCGCCTACGATGCAGACGTACCATCAATCTAGCTGAAGCTGTCACTATCCGACCAACAAGCAATGCCAGTACACTGCCGGCGAGGCGTCTGGGCCGTAGCGCTTCTCCAATAGGGCCAGCATCATGTCCATCCAGGCCAAAGTTAGTGGTCGTTTCATTGTTGAGAGTGTTGATAGCTGCTTCTCAGTAGGCAGCGCCATCGGTCGGCCATGCACCGACAACCCGAAAAACAAAAACAAAAAACAAAAACAAAAATCCAAGCTGCGTTTTGGTACGGCTGCAAAGGCTATCGAGTGTCAAATGAGACTACCGGTAGCAAAGCGAAGCGTGTTCGGTATACTTAAGTAAGGGTCATCCAAATCGGGCGTGCCAAACGCCAAACGTCTCCACATGTTCTACTAAGTCACCATTCGAGTTCGAAACGGTTTAGCGCATCGGACGAGCAAACTGAGTACAGCGAGAAAGTTGACAACCATTGACGTCGTATTGCTACCACCGCCAGTTTTTTTATCGACGCTACTACACGCATGTTACTCTACAGAACTACAGGTTCCGTGGGCTAGCTGCTCCATGACCAACGAACGCCCCTCGTCTACTTTTCATCATCGCCAGCGAGCGGCCTTCTCCACTTCACTTCACTTCACTCCACTTACTTGCCCTTGGCCTTGTCCGTGGCGCCGGACTTGGTGGTCTCCTTCTCCTTGGGCGGCGTCTTGTCCTCCTTCTCCGCCGACTTGTTGGACGCAACGTCCGTAGCGGTAGCAGGCGCCGTGGCGGACTCCTTCTGGCCAGCCTCAGCACCGTCCGTCGTCGCGGACTCATAGCCGTAGCCAAAGTCACCGCCGCCGCCGTAGGACGAGTAGTAGTCCGGGTAGTAGCTGTATCCGTACGACGAGTAGTAGTCCGGGTAGTAGCTGGAGCCGTACTTGTATCCGTCGTATCCATAGACGTCCTTGCCGTAGCGGTAGTCTCATTTGACACTCGATAGCCTTTGCAGCCGTACCAAAACGCAGCTTGGATTTTTGTTTTTGTTTTTTGTTTTTGTTTTTCGGGTTGTCGGTGCATGGCCGACCGATGGCGCTGCCTACTGAGAAGCAGCTATCAACACTCTCAACAATGAAACGACCACTAACTTTGGCCTGGATGGACATGATGCTGGCCATATTGGAGAAGCGCTACGGCCCAGACGCCTCGCCGGCAGTGTACTGGCATTGCTTGTTGGCCGGATAGTGACAGCTTCAGCTAGATTGATGGTACGTCTGCATCGTAGGCGCGAGAGACTAGACTAGTTGACTAGTTACGGAGTGGGCGACGGCTGTGGATGCGGCCTCAAACCCGAGTGCCCCAAGCTCTCTCATCTTCCAATTCGCCTTCTCCGCCACACTCGGCCACCAACCAACCCCAAATCAACCCACCGAATCGCACGTTCATCTCTGACATGCACTCCAAGATCGTTGCCCTGTTCAGCCTGTGTGCCGCTGCCTCCATCCTGCAGGCGGCTGACGCTGGCGCTTCTCCTGTGGGCGTCTCGCCGCGCCGCCACCTCGGCTCCAGGGAGGACTACGGACACCACCCGCGCCACCACGACCATGACCATGACCACGACCACGACCACGGGAAGAATCACCGCCACCACGATGACAAGCACCCGTCGCACTACTATTACCGTCGCCGTCTCGAAGACGCCAAGGCCACCGAGTCCAAGGACTACAAGGACGACCATGGCAAGGACGATTACGACTACGGCAAGGACCGCAAGGATCGCAAGGACGGCTACGAGCACAAGCGGTACGGCGATGACTACAAGGGATACGGCTACAAGAGCTACGGCGGAGACTGCGATGACTACGGAAAGGGTCGCCACGACAAGGACGACTACAGCTACGGCAAGGCCTACTACGGCAAGGCCTACTACGGCAAGGACGACTACAGCTACGGCAAGGCCTACTACGGCAAAGACTACTACGGCAAGGACGACTACAGCTACGGCAAGGACGTCTATGGATACGACGGATACAAGTACGGCTCCAGCTACTACCCGGACTACTACTCGTCGTACGGATACAGCTACTACCCGGACTACTACTCGTCCTACGGCGGCGGCGGTGACTTTGGCTACGGCTATGGTTACAACTACCCCGGCAACTTCGGCTATGCTAGCTACGGCTATGGCTACCCTGGTTACCCTGGTTACCCTGGCTACCCTGGCTACGGCTACGGCTATGAGTCCGCGACGACGGACGGTGCTGAGGCTGGCCAGAAGGAGTCCGCCACGGCGCCTGCTACCGCTACGGACGTTGCGTCCAACAAGTCGGCGGAGAAGGAGGACAAGACGCCGCCCAAGGAGAAGGAGACCACCAAGTCCGGCGCCACGGACAAGGCCAAGGGCAAGTAAGTGGAGTGAAGTGAAGTGAAGTGAAGTGGAGAAGGCCGCTCGCTGGCGATGATGAGAAGTAGACGAGGGGCGTTCGTTGGTCATGGAGCAGCTAGCCCACGGAACCTGTAGTTCTGTAGAGTAACATGCGTGTAGTAGCATCGATAAAAAAACTGGCGGTGGTAGCAATACGACGTCAATGGTTGTCAACTTTCTCGCTGTACTCAGTTTGCTCGTCCGATGCGCTAAACCGTTTCGAACTCGAATGGTGACTTAGTAGAACATGTGGAGACGTTTGGCGTTTGGCACGCCCGATTTGGATGACCCTTACTTAAGTATACCGAACACGCTTCGCTTTGCTACCGGTAGTCTCATTTGACACTCGATAGCCTTTGCAGCCGTACCAAAACGCAGCTTGGATTTTTGTTTTTGTTTTTTGTTTTTGTTTTTCGGGTTGTCGGTGCATGGCCGACCGATGGCGCTGCCTGCTGAGAAGCAGCTATCAACACTCTCAACAATGAAACGACCACTAACTTTGGCCTGGATGGACATGATGCTGGCCCTATTGGAGAAGCGCTACGGCCCAGACGCCTCGCCGGCAGTGTACTGGCATTGCTTGTTGGCCGGATAGTGACAGCTTCAGCTAGATTGATGGTACGTCTGCATCGTAGGCGCAAGAGACTAGACTAGTTGACTAGTTACGGAGTGGGCGACGGCTGTGGATGCGGCCTCAAACCCGAGTGCCCCAAGCTCTCTCATCTTCCAATTCGCCTTCTCCGCCACACTCGGCCACCAACCAACCCCAAATCAACCCACCGAATCGCACGTTCATCTCTGACATGCACTCCAAGATCGTTGCCCTGTTCAGCCTGTGTGCCGCTGCCTCCATCCTGCAGGCGGCTGACGCTGGCGCTTCTCCTGTGGGCGTCTCGCCGCGCCGCCACCTCGGCTCCAGGGAGGACTACGGACACCACCCGCGCCACCACGACCATGACCATGACCACGACCACGACCACGGGAAGAATCACCGCCACCACGATGACAAGCACCCGTCGCACTACTATTACCGTCGCCGTCTCGAAGACGCCAAGGCCACCGAGTCCAAGGACTACAAGGACGACCATGGCAAGGACGACTACGACTACGGCAAGGACCGCAAGGATCGCAAGGACGGCTACGAGCACAAGCGGTACGGCGGTCACGACGACTATGACGATGACTACAAGGGATACGGCTACAAGAGCTACGGCGGAGACTGCGATGACTACGGAAAGGGTCGCCACGACAAGGACGACTACAGCTACGGCAAGGCCTACTACGGCAAGGCCTACTACGGCAAGGACGACTACAGCAACGGCAAGGCCTACTACGGCAAAGACTACTACGGCAAGGACGACTACAGCTACGGCAAGGACGTCTATGGATACGACGGATACAAGTACGGCTCCAGCTACTACCCGGACTACTACTCGTCCTACGGCGGCGGCGGTGACTTTGGCTACGGCTATGGTTACAACTACCCCGGCAACTTCGGCTATGCTAGCTACGGCTATGGCTACCCTGGTTACCCTGGTTACCCTGGCTACCCTGGCTACGGCTACGGCTATGAGTCCGCGACGACGGACGGTGCTGAGGCTGGCCAGAAGGAGTCCGCCACGGCGCCTGCTACCGCTACGGACGTTGCGTCCAACAAGTCGGCGGAGAAGGAGGACAAGACGCCGCCCAAGGAGAAGGAGACCACCAAGTCCGGCGCCACGGACAAGGCCAAGGGCAAGTAAGTGGAGTGAAGTGAAGTGAAGTGAAGTGAAGTGAAGTGAAGTGAAGTGAAGTGAAGTGGAGAAGGCCGCTCGCTGGCGATGATGAGAAGTAGACGAGGGGCGTTCGTTGGTCATGGAGCAGCTAGCCCACGGAACCTGTAGTTCTGTAGAGTAACATGCGTGTAGTAGCGTCGATAAAAAAACTGGCGGTGGTAGCAATACGACGTCAATGGTTGTCAACTTTCTCGCTGTACTCAGTTTGCTCGTCCGATGCGCTAAACCGTTTCGAACTTGAATGGTGACTTAGTAGAACATGTGGAGACGTTTGGCGTTTGGCACGCCCGATTTGGATGACCCTTACTTAAGTATACCGAACACGCTTCGCTTTGCTACCGGTAGTCTCATTTGACACTCGATAGCCTTTGCAGCCGTACCAAAACGCAGCTTGGATTTTTGTTTTTGTTTTTTGTTTTTGTTTTTCGGGTTGTCGGTGCATGGCCGACCGATGGCGCTGCCTGCTGAGAAGCAGCTATCAACACTCTCAACAATGAAACGATCACTAACTTTGGCCTGGATGGACATGATGCTGGCCCTATTGGAGAAGCGCTACGGCCCAGACGCCTCGCCGGCAGTGTACTGGCATTGCTTGTTGGCCGGATAGTGACAGCTTCAGCTAGATTGATGGTACGTCTGCATCGTAGGCGCGAGAGACTAGACTAGTTGACTAGTTACGGAGTGGGCGACGGCTGTGGATGCGGCCTCAAACCCGAGTGCCCCAAGCTCTCTCATCTTCCAATTCGCCTTCTCCGCCACACTCGGCCACCAACCAACCCCAAATCAACCCACCGAATCGCACGTTCATCTCTGACATGCACTCCCAAGATCGTTGCCCTGTTCAGCCTGTGTGCCGCTGCCTCCATCCTGCAGGCGGCTGACGCTGGCGCTTCTCCTGTGGGCGTCTCGCCGCGCCGCCACCTCGGCTCCAGGGAGGACTACGGACACCACCCGCGCCACCACGACCATGACCATGACCACGACCACGACCACGGGAAGAATCACCGCCACCACGATGACAAGCACCCGTCGCACTACTATTACCGTCGCCGTCTCGAAGACGCCAAGGCCACCGAGTCCAAGGACTACAAGGACGACCATGGCAAGGACGACTACGACTACGGCAAGGACCGCAAGGATCGCAAGGACGGCTACGAGCACAAGCGGTACGGCGGTCACGACGACTATGACGATGACTACAAGGGATACGGCTACAAGAGCTACGGCGGAGACTGCGATGACTACGGAAAGGGTCGCCACGACAAGGACGACTACAGCTACGGCAAGGCCTACTACGGCAAGGCCTACTACGGCAAGGACGACTACAGCAACGGCAAGGCCTACTACGGCAAAGACTACTACGGCAAGGACGACTACAGCTACGGCAAGGACGTCTATGGATACGACGGATACAAGTACGGCTCCAGCTACTACCCGGACTACTACTCGTCGTACGGATACAGCTACTACCCGGACTACTACTCGTCCTACGGCGGCGGCGGTGACTTTGGCTACGGCTATGGTTACAACTACCCCGGCAACTTCGGCTATGCTAGCTACGGCTATGGCTACCCTGGTTACCCTGGTTACCCTGGCTACCCTGGCTACGGCTACGGCTATGAGTCCGCGACGACGGACGGTGCTGAGGCTGGCCAGAAGGAGTCCGCCACGGCGCCTGCTACCGCTATGGACGTTGCGTCCAACAAGTCGGCGGAGAAGGAGGACAAGACGCCGCCCAAGGAGAAGGAGACCACCAAGTCCGGCGCCACGGACAAGGCCAAGGGCAAGTAAGTGGAGTGAAGTGAAGTGAAGTGGAGAAGGCCGCTCGCTGGCGATGATGAGAAGTAGACGAGGGGCGTTCGTTGGTCATGGAGCAGCTAGCCCACGGAACCTGTAGTTCTGTAGAGTAACATGCGTGTAGTAGCGTCGATAAAAAAACTGGCGGTGGTAGCAATACGACGTCAATGGTTGTCAACTTTCTCGCTGTACTCAGTTTGCTCGTCCGATGCGCTAAACCGTTTCGAACTCGAATGGTGACTTAGTAGAACATGTGGAGACGTTTGGCGTTTGGCACGCCCGATTTGGATGACCCTTACTTAAGTATACCGAACACGCTTCGCTTTGCTACCGGTAGTCTCATTTGACACTCGATAGCCTTTGCAGCCGTACCAAAACGCAGCTTGGATTTTTGTTTTTGTTTTTTTGTTTTTGTTTTTTGTTTTTGTTTTTCGGGTTGTCGGTGCATGGCCGACCGATGGCGCTGCCTGCTGAGAAGCAGCTATCAACACTCTCAACAATGAAACGACCACTAACTTTGGCCTGGATGGACATGATGCTGGCCCTATTGGAGAAGCGCTACGGCCCAGACGCCTCGCCGGCAGTGTACTGGCATTGCTTGTTGGTCGGATAGTGACAGCTTCAGCTAGATTGATGGTACGTCTGCATCGTAGGCGCGAGAGACTAGACTAGTTGACTAGTTACGGAGTGGGCGACGGCTGTGGATGCGGCCTCAAACCCGAGTGCCCCAAGCTCTCTCATCTTCCAATTCGCCTTCTCCGCCACACTCGGCCACCAACCAACCCCAAATCAACCCACCGAATCGCACGTTCATCTCTGACATGCACTCCAAGATCGTTGCCCTGTTCAGCCTGTGTGCCGCTGCCTCCATCCTGCAGGCGGCTGACGCTGGCGCTTCTCCTGTGGGCGTCTCGCCGCGCCGCCACCTCGGCTCCAGGGAGGACTACGGACACCACCCGCGCCACCACGACCATGACCATGACCACGACCACGACCACGGGAAGAATCACCGCCACCACGATGACAAGCACCCGTCGCACTACTATTACCGTCGCCGTCTCGAAGACGCCAAGGCCACCGAGTCCAAGGACTACAAGGACGACCATGGCAAGGACGACTACGACTACGACTACGGCAAGGACCGCAAGGATCGCAAGGACGGCTACGAGCACAAGCGGTACGGCGGTCACGACGACTATGACGATGACTACAAGGGATACGGCTACAAGAGCTACGGCGGAGACTGCGATGACTACGGAAAGGGTCGCCACGACAAGGACGACTACAGCTACGGCAAGGCCTACTACGGCAAGGCCTACTACGGCAAGGACGACTACAGCAACGGCAAGGCCTACTACGGCAAAGACTACTACGGCAAGGACGACTACAGCTACGGCAAGGACGTCTATGGATACGACGGATACAAGTACGGCTCCAGCTACTACCCGGACTACTACTCGTCGTACGGATACAGCTACTACCCGGACTACTACTCGTCCTACGGCGGCGGCGGTGACTTTGGCTACGGCTATGGTTACAACTACCCCGGCAACTTCGGCTATGCTAGCTACGGCTATGGCTACCCTGGTTACCCTGGTTACCCTGGCTACCCTGGCTACGGCTACGGCTATGAGTCCGCGACGACGGACGGTGCTGAGGCTGGCCAGAAGGAGTCCGCCACGGCGCCTGCTACCGCTACGGACGTTGCGTCCAACAAGTCGGCGGAGAAGGAGGACAAGACGCCGCCCAAGGAGAAGGAGACCACCAAGTCCGGCGCCACGGACAAGGCCAAGGGCAAGTAAGTGGAGTGAAGTGAAGTGAAGTGAAGTGAAGTGAAGTGAAGTGAAGTGCAGTGAAGTGAAGTGAAGTGGAGAAGGCCGCTCGCTGGCGATGATGAGAAGTGGACGAGGGGCGTTCGTTGGTCATGGAGCAGCTAGCCCACGGAACCTGTAGTTCTGTAGAGTAACATGCGTGTAGTAGCGTCGATAAAAAAACTGGCGGTGGTAGCAATACGACGTCAATGGTTGTCAACTTTCTCGCTGTACTCAGTTTGCTCGTCCGATGCGCTAAACCGTTTCGAACTCGAATGGTGACTTAGTAGAACATGTGGAGACGTTTGGCGTTTGGCACGCCCGATTTGGATGACCCTTACTTAAGTATACCGAACACGCTTCGCTTTGCTACCGGTAGTCTCATTTGACACTCGATAGCCTTTGCAGCCGTACCAAAACGCAGCTTGGATTTTTGTTTTTGTTTTTTGTTTTTGTTTTTCGGGTTGTCGGTGCATGGCCGACCGATGGCGCTGCCTGCTGAGAAGCAGCTATCAACACTCTCAACAATGAAACGACCACTAACTTTGGCCTGGATGGACATGATGCTGGCCATATTGGAGAAGCGCTACGGCCCAGACGCCTCGCCGGCAGTGTACTGGCATTGCTTGTTGGTCGGATAGTGACAGCTTCAGCTAGATTGATGGTACGTCTGCATCGTAGGCGCGAGAGACTAGACTAGTTGACTAGTTACGGAGTGGGCGACGGCTGTGGATGCGGCCTCAAACCCGAGTGCCCCAAGCTCTCTCATCTTCCAATTCGCCTTCTCCGCCACACTCGGCCACCAACCAACCCCAAATCAACCCACCGAATCGCACGTTCATCTCTGACATGCACTCCAAGATCGTTGCCCTGTTCAGCCTGTGTGCCGCTGCCTCCATCCTGCAGGCGGCTGACGCTGGCGCTTCTCCTGTGGGCGTCTCGCCGCGCCGCCACCTCGGCTCCAGGGAGGACTACGGACACCACCCGCGCCACCACGACCATGACCATGACCACGACCACGACCACGGGAAGAATCACCGCCACCACGATGACAAGCACCCGTCGCACTACTATTACCGTCGCCGTCTCGAAGACGCCAAGGCCACCGAGTCCAAGGACTACAAGGACGACCATGGCAAGGACGACTACGACTACGGCAAGGACCGCAAGGATCGCAAGGACGGCTACGAGCACAAGCGGTACGGCGGTCACGACGACTATGACGATGACTACAAGGGATACGGCTACAAGAGCTACGGCGGAGACTGCGATGACTACGGAAAGGGTCGCCACGACAAGGACGACTACAGCTACGGCAAGGCCTACTACGGCAAAGACTACTACGGCAAGGACGACTACAGCTACGGCAAGGACGTCTATGGATACGACGGATACAAGTACGGCTCCAGCTACTACCCGGACTACTACTCGTCGTACGGATACAGCTACTACCCGGACTACTACTCGTCCTACGGCGGCAGCGGTGACTTTGGCTACGGCTATGGTTACAACTACCCCGGCAACTTCGGCTATGCTAGCTACGGCTATGGCTACCCTGGTTACCCTGGTTACCCTGGCTACCCTGGCTACGGCTACGGCTATGAGTCCGCGACGACGGACGGTGCTGAGGCTGGCCAGAAGGAGTCCGCCACGGCGCCTGCTACCGCTACGGACGTTGCGTCCAACAAGTCGGCGGAGAAGGAGGACAAGACGCCGCCCAAGGAGAAGGAGACCACCAAGTCCGGCGCCACGGACAAGGCCAAGGGCAAGTAAGTGGAGTGAAGTGAAGTGAAGTGAAGTGGAGAAGGCCGCTCGCTGGCGATGATGAGAAGTAGACGAGGGGCGTTCGTTGGTCATGGAGCAGCTAGCCCACGGAACCTGTAGTTCTGTAGAGTAACATGCGTGTAGTAGCGTCGATAAAAAAACTGGCGGTGGTAGCAATACGACGTCAATGGTTGTCAACTTTCTCGCTGTACTCAGTTTGCTCGTCCGATGCGCTAAACCGTTTCGAACTCGAATGGTGACTTAGTAGAACATGTGGAGACGTTTGGCGTTTGGCACGCCCGATTTGGATGACCCTTACTTAAGTATACCGAACACGCTTCGCTTTGCTACCGGTAGTCTCATTTGACACTCGATAGCCTTTGCAGCCGTACCAAAACGCAGCTTGGATTTTTGTTTTTGTTTTTTGTTTTTGTTTTTTGTTTTTGTTTTTCGGGTTGTCGGTGCATGGCCGACCGATGGCGCTGCCTACTGAGAAGCAGCTATCAACACTCTCAACAATGAAACGACCACTAACTTTGGCCTGGATGGACATGATGCTGGCCCTATTGGAGAAGCGCTACGGCCCAGACGCCTCGCCGGCAGTGTACTGGCATTGCTTGTTGGCCGGATAGTGACAGCTTCAGCTAGATTGATGGTACGTCTGCATCGTAGGCGCGAGAGACTAGACTAGTTGACTAGTTACGGAGTGGGCGACGGCTGTGGATGCGGCCTCAAACCCGAGTGCCCCAAGCTCTCTCATCTTCCAATTCGCCTTCTCCGCCACACTCGGCCACCAACCAACCCCAAATCAACCCACCGAATCGCACGTTCATCTCTGACATGCACTCCAAGATCGTTGCCCTGTTCAGCCTGTGTGCCGCTGCCTCCATTCTGCAGGCGGCTGACGCTGGCGCTTCTCCTGTGGGCGTCTCGCCGCGCCGCCACCTCGGCTCCAGGGAGGACTACGGACACCACCCGCGCCACCACGACCATGACCATGACCATGACCATGACCACGACCACGACCACGGGAAGAATCACCGCCACCACGATGACAAGCACCCGTCGCACTACTATTACCGTCGCCGTCTCGAAGACGCCAAGGCCACCGAGTCCAAGGACTACAAGGACGACCATGGCAAGGACGACTACGACTACGGCAAGGACCGCAAGGATCGCAAGGACGGCTACGAGCACAAGCGGTACGGCGGTCACGACGACTATGACGATGACTACAAGGGATACGGCTACAAGAGCTACGGCGGAGACTGCGATGACTACGGAAAGGGTCGCCACGACAAGGACGACTACAGCTACGGCAAGGCCTACTACGGCAAGGCCTACTACGGCAAGGACGACTACAGCAACGGCAAGGCCTACTACGGCAAAGACTACTACGGTAAGGACGACTACAGCTAC